CCTGTCACCGGCACATCTGTAACCGTTGTCGTGAAAATATATAACGAGTGGGAAAACACCAACACGAAATACTCTGGAAGACTTTACGATGGTAAAACCGTAGCGATAATAGGTCCAATTAAACTTGGAGCTGAGGCGATGCCCCAGCATTCCGGTAAAGACAAAAAACACTTAAAAATGGGATGGGCTTACCGAACTTAGGGCTCCAAAAGAGTACCACTACTGAGGACCAGAACCGCCATCGTGTTAGGGTGCAGCAAAAGCCGAAATTTCGAACCGCGTCAAGAAAACAATTCCTTGCAATCACAACAATATATTTCATACTACATAAGTTACATGAAAACAAACCAGTCTACGGGTTCGATCATTTTGGTAGTGTGAACTGACTGCCATGTACAATGTCCAGCTATAAATCGGACACCGCTATTCATGCCTCATAAGAGGTGCTTACTTGGTGGTGCTAGCAATTAGGTACGACAGGACAGTGTTGTGGTAGTGGTTGCACACACATCTTATACAGAATCAGCTTGGTTTCATCAGGGCGAAAAGTTCGGTGAATGAAGCCGATTAGGCTGTGTGATTTAGGGCACTGTGCCGTTGCTTGTTCTGCAAAGGAAAAGTCACTGCGTACCTCATTCCAAGGTCGCAAATACTACTAAGCTGTTGGAGTGCGATGTTGTCCAGTCGAAGATTAGTCGGCACGCTGTGTTCACCGAAGATAATAGGGCCGGACGTTCGTGCATTCAGAGGTAGTAGCCACGTGTCACGCCATCTTTGTAGCTTGTCAAGATCATTTTGTATGGTGGCATTGATGCTGCTACATTGGTTAGGGTGATAAGTGCACACTGCTTTCAAGTCATCTGCAAAGAGGAGGGTTTTTCCTGATTACAAGCGGGCACTTATATCATTTATACACATTATTAAGTCAAGGGGTCCGAGGATGGGGTCCTGGATAACTCCACTGGTGATATTTCCGGGGGAGAACAGTGTGAGCCTGTCTTGACAAATTGGATGTGGTTCAACAGAAATGAGCCAATCCAGTCATGCATCTTGTCACTAATTCCAAATGGATTCAGTTTAAGAAGGAGTGATGGAGGAAGCACTTTGTCAAAGGCTTTGATGAAATCGAAGTGAAGTGAGACAATCACTTCTCCATCATCTCTGCTGTTATTAACGTGTTCGGAGAATTCTGGGTGGCATGTGATGCAAGATTTCTCAGACAGAAATTCATGCCGCGAGGAGTCCATAAGTTTGTGATTTGAAAGGTGAGAAAAGATGGCATTTTTCGCTACCTTCCACATTACACACGAAAACATAGATGTTATGTTGATAGGGCTGTAATTTTCCGGGCGCGGTCTTGAGCCTTTCTCAAAGCACGGGGGTAATATGACTAGTCTTCCACGAAACTGGGAAACTGCCAGAGTTTAAGGGCATGCTGAACATTATTGCCAGCATCATGGAGATGTCCGAGCCGCCATTTTTAATGAGAATGCCAGGTCTCCCATCTACTCCCCCACCAAGAGAAGGTTTCAGTTAGTTTATTGCGTCACTTACGTTGCTTAGGTTAAACTGAACCTCCGAAATTTTATGTACTCCATTGTCACTGAGTGCAGCAAGGCTGCGATTACAGTTGGTGAAGGAAGGGCTAAACGTTTCACTTAGTAGCTCACATATCTCTCTAGGGCCTGTAACAATCCTGTTGCATACTTTCAATATATCAGCACGTTGGGTCCATCACAGAGTTTCTTCTTCAGGAAAGTGGCAGGAAGATCAGTTTTATTGGCGTATTTCAGGATTTTATCCTCAGTAAAGGTTTTATCTTTTTGTCTGTGAACTTCTAGGTCACTGAAGACGGCATCGCAGAAAAGTCATGGGATGCAAAAATGTTTTCCCTCAGTTTCCTCAGTATTCACCTGAATATGATAGGGATGTAGTCTTTGATGTTAATATGCGACTTTTGTGCTTTCTTTGGGGCTACGGAATCGAGACAAAAGATTAAATCGAGATAGAAGTTTGCGAGGGAGTTGTTCAAATCATCGTACGAAAAGAAGTCGTCCCAGTCTAGACAGCGTATTAAGTATCGTCAGCTTGGCCAATCGACGTCAACACAACTTCTGCAAGTGAGCGTCGTAGGCCTTGGTGATATCGAAGTCCATCTACATGGTGCAAAGAGTTGACAGGCTACAACCTTGTGGTCAATTTCCGGAAATTCACTGCTACTACATATAGTGATTGGTGGTGCCTTGTTTAGAAAAATCAGGTCAAGTATATTATTTCGTCGAGTGCAGCTATTGGCACCTTGAACCCATCCACCGGTTTCTAAGGTTTGAAAGAATTGCTTGAGACGAGACGGTCCTTGCAGTGTCTTCCATATGATACCCGGCATATAAGAATCACCACCAACTGCTGTACAAGTCAGTAGGGATGACAGTGGCTTGAATATTTCATTGATATGTTCGTCAACGGCAGGTCCAGCGTGCGGAGACCTATGTAGGCAACCAACAGTATTTTTGTAATGTTGACAAGTGTTAATATTCACGAATATGGCATCATCCAAAGGATCCCAGCCCAACGGGAAAGCAATCAGAGGTGAAAAATCAGAGCGTACATGGACAATGCAATCCCTGCCTTTAGAAGTGCTACGTTCATTACGATACAAATTGCAATTATCTAACATGAGTCTGAGGTTTGAAGTATCTAACTTACACCAAGTTTCGGTGATTAAAATGCGGCATTGTTTGATCAAGTAAGCTGGAGATCCTAGATAATTTAGCTTATTGCAAACTGAACGTGAGTTGAACAGGGGAACAGAGAATTATGATGGGGCTATAGAAAGGCTTAGGTCATCAACAAGGTGGGACAGAATTGTTCTTTCATGGTCATCGTCTGAGTCAACGGGATGTGTAGTGGGAAATTTTGGGGTGTGGGCAAGTTCCTTATTGTTGCATGCAGACTATCCATTGTTGCCTCAGACGATGACCGATCATTTATTGGCCTAGGGGATGAAAGGGCGTCACAATAGTACTTCTGCCCCTGAATTGGCTGCTGGCGCAAGCTGATAGCAGTTGGCCCGAGCGTGTCATCATCTGCACCGCCAGAGGTGCTACTAGTTTTTGAACCCTGAAAAAGATGGATTTTCTGGGGGATTCCAGAACGTAGATTCTCCATAGAACGCTGGATGAGGTGCTACCTACGCTATTTTTTGTGTCATAGATAGGGTAGCCACAAGGCTCCTCATTCTGAAAACTCAAGAGGATGGTTTATGGTTTATTCGCGTTGCATCGTGAACTAAAGGGTGTTTGCGGCGCACCCGAGCTATATTCCTGGGTAGACGGAAGCTGTACAGTGGGATGTGACGATGGAGACCATGTTATGGCTGGCTGAGATCGTCTTATCTCCTGGTTCCGGATGTGGAGCGTTTTTATGATTATCTGTGTGTGGGAATAAACCAACTTGAGGGAGGTTCGTAGTGCTATATGCCTTCAGGCTACTGGGGTTTCTTAACTTCGCTGGGTAGTAGTTTTGCTGTTAAAACATTTAGACCTCCGCAACGTTTTGCTTAAGGAAATGGCATTCAGCAGCACAGCCGAAGAGGCGGGTTGCACAGACTGGTCTGCCTGTATGATATGATCGGATTGACTGCCTTGGGGTGGTGGGGCTGGTAGAACTTTTAACCTGGGCGATAGATCAGATAATTTTAACCTTTTCGCGCTAATACCCTTATTTCCACGGAGGCTACTGACACTTATTTTCACTCTCACAAAAGCAAGCGAGAAGTGTTAGAAACATAGATAATGTTGTAATGTTAGACAACTAATTAACCAGTTGAATAATAGCAGATATTAGATATCAGTTAACTTCATATGGTCGGTAATCCTCTTCATTCTAACAGATTGCTTTTAGGTTTCAAATAGAAGCACCAACCTAGAGGTAATCCTTTAGGATTAGGGCACAAGAAGGTACATTCGATGGTCTGAGCTAACTCATTTGTGGCTGGAATGTGTAAACTGCAAAAAATTTCTTCTTCAAGAAGTCGCGATTGCTGCCTCATTTGGAGCTTTCGGAAAGAGGTTTGACGTAAAAGTAGAGACAGACGAAGAAGTCTATTAAGAAACAAGCAGTACGGTCACACAGTAATCCGTCCTCCAAAACTATATGCCTCTGGTACCCATAAATTCACAACTCGGTTTGCCCATACCAAGCTATCGAAGGAAAAGAGGCAACCTAACGAAATCCCGACAGATCATCCACCGAATGGACCACGATAGGTCAACATTATCGGTCGAAAACCGACAGTCGTGTGGGGACTCTACTCGGATACCCCACCACAGAGCAAAGAAGAAGACGAAATCTAACTCTTCCGCACATAACGTGTGTTTCACGGAACGCTTTGCTAAAGAAGCAACTACGGCTACAATGGTCGACTTCTTCAAATCACTGCTCGAAAAGTACGTGATCACAAACGGCCTGCCACGACATTGGCAGGAAACGACTGAGGGTAAGCTCACCACTGCTGTATTCCCAACCCCAGTATCTACAGCGAGACTCATCGCTTCTCCATAACACTTGTTTTTCATAAGTATTTTTCACTCCTCTTTTCTTTCTCCCCAATGGCACTATTACTCACACTACCTTTTAAAGGAAGTTTGATACTTACTTACGGTCACCTAAAAAGTAGCAGCTACAAAAGGTAAACTAATCTTATAAGCAGCTTTGCTGATCCCCAAACAAGCCAAGCAAAACTTGCAAAAATACCTTCAAATAGACATTCATTACCTCCAAAGCTATCAGCAGGTAAGCTGAAAAGACTTCTGAGACTACCGAATGAGTGTGATCAAACAAAGAACTGAGCCTCAAGGTGTAGGAGCTAGAGCTCAAAAACAACAAGTTTCCTCTGCTTGTACCGTTTTGTTGGATATTTGAATAAATTTGACCTCGAGAACAGTTCCAGTTAAGGCGCCTTAGCATCCGAAAGCGGTCTATTCAGTCTAGATTCATGCATGATACTAACTTTGGAGATAATTTTTTTTCTAATAACTTTTTCCTATGGTTTGGCTGAATTCATACATTTCAAATCTCATAAAATTTTTTCAGGAGATCATGACTATTTACATCTACGAGTAATTGACCCATCAACACTACCATTTTTATATCGCTTAAGTCCCGGTCAAATCGGTCCTCAGTTCGTATGTTTACATTATTCGTAATAAATTCGATTTGGTAAAGAATAGGACTTTTACGTCTACTTCGTTAGTGTTGACTGAGCCTCCTCATGCCTGTGATATAGTAACAAATACACATGAAGTTAACCAAAATATCGCGCTTATTATTCGGGGGTAGGAAGTTATAATTCGTGTTTTACAGAAAATAGTGGATGTAGCTTTGTCACTAAAGCAATCAATGCTCATGTTGCTGGTGCAGTTGCTGTGATAGTGTACGATTTCAATCGTAAGGCAATTCAGACGTTCAGTATGATTCAGGATGATACTTCAAGACGAGTTCAAATACCTTGTGCTTTTATGAATGGGAAAGATGGGTGAGTTATTTCTGTTAATCTGTTGCTTGTTCGCTCTTTGAAACCCAGTTTACTCAGTTCATTTGAATGCAGTTGTTTTACTAAGGTATCCACGGAGAAGGACCTAGGACTAAACTTTTCTGACACTGGGTGCTACTGGTATTTATAAGGGAATGGCAGCAAAGGCGAACACCATTACGCTCTTCCTAAAAAGACAGCTTGAGTCGTTAAGCCCAGAACTATTCCTTATGGTATTTAAAACCTGTGTTAGACCACCTAAAGGTGTTCAACACGATAGCCCTTCCGCTACTGAAGAGAGACGCAAATTCTCTCGAGAAGTTACAGAGAAGGGTGACCAGGTCGGCTGTCGGACTAATAAGCAAAACACATGCGCAACGCCTCAGACAACTCCACTTGTTCACGCTAAGCTATCGAAGAAAACGAGGTGGTCAGATAACAGCCTACAAGATCATTCACCAAGTGGACCACCCAAATAGGATAACATTATCGGTCCAAAACTGACATTCCTGTGGGAACCCCACTCGCATACTTCCATAGTGAGATCTAACTTTTTCATAGAGTATGTGCCGTATAAAACGCGCTGCCGAAAGAAGTGGCCACAACTACATCACTCAACTCCTTCAGACGACTACTGGATGATTATGTGGGCGTAAATGGCTTACCACGAACATTTGTTGGTAGGAACTGACGATACACCCTTCCATCCATGTATTCCCCAACCTTAGCATCTACAGTAAGACGCATCTCTCCTCTATATTATTACCAGTCACATTTATCTTTTCGAAAGTACTTCTCATTTCTCCTTTTCTCACTCCCACTCACTTCGTTTCTATCACATTTTGAGTAACGCTTAACACTTACTTGCTGGTGCCTCCAACAACAGGAATTGCAAATGGTTGATTGATCTTATCAGCAGCTCCATTTCCCCCCGCCTGGCCCGAAAACAAACCAAGCTTCAATTTGCAAATAAAATACTTTCAACTAGACAGTCATTGCCTCCAAAGCTATAAACATGAAGACGCAAAGACTTCTGCGACCACCGAAGGAGTGCGACCGAACAAAAAGAACCAAGCCTCAAGACCTAAAAGCGAGATCTGAAAAACTACAAGTTTCCTCTACTCTCACTGTTGATGTTGGGATAACTTCGACGTGCACATCGAATTTTATTTTTAAAGTGATTAGTGCGAAATACATTTAAAATAAGCTTGTTCTATAACATATGACCTAATTTTCGCCTGCTCTGTGACTACATACCAACTACGCTTACCTTTTTCCATCACGAATCCCTTTTATACAGGTTTCCACTAAGGTATAAAGTCTGAGTAAAGTAAAAGTATAGCCATTGAAAGTTTCACATATTTAGTGTCTGTGGGGAAAATTAGGATAGGTAGTAATGTGGTACAACAACTTCCATCTTTCTGGGAGGCCAGTCGAAGGCTTGTGATACTATCTGCATACAGAGTTGAATCGGTCTGGCTCAATCGCATATTCAAGTCACAATTAAGTCGCACAAGTAAAGCTAAGTTATGTCAGAAAAACTGTAAGATCTTGTCTGTCTCTTTAAACTGTCGGTAAAAGTAGTTGGATTTCAACTGTGGTAAAATTTCTGCCTTGAAACATTCAAAAGCGAAGTGTTTTATAAACTATATGAGCACTAGTGCTGATTATATGATGTAGTAGTTTAAAATCTGCAATGCTGTCTTCATACACTTGTATAAACTAACACCTAGAACCAAAAGATTACTGCGCATTTCCCAAGCGTATATGGTACTGCCAGGCCCATGTAAAAAACAATTAGTAAAGAGAACTTCAAATACTCTGTCTTTCTATTGAAAGCCCCATCTGTATTGTGTGTTCATATTTGATTATAGTTGTCCACCCCCGCCTGGACCTCTGCTAGCAGATTGCTTTATAGTGAACCTAATGAATCAACCTACCTATATAAAAGATATATTGATGATACATTCGTCACATGCAATCAAAATACGGATATTATGGGTCTGGAGTTAAAAAGTTCAATGATTGTCACCCATCAATCAACTTCATATCAGAATTTGAAGAGAAAACAAAGTTTTATCTTCTCGATGGAGACCAGATCGCTATTTCTCTTCCGAGATCGATTTATAGGAAGTCTACATGAAATTTCCATAGCTGGACGCCTCTCTCAGCATAACAAGTAATCTCAAGAATCAGAAGAATCTGCAGGAGAGATGGTATCGATGATGAATTAGACAAACTACGGAAGATTCTTATGCAAGTAAAGTGGATACTCATCTGCATTTATTGGGAACTTGAAATTAAAACTATGTACTCACAGTTCCAAAGAAGACCTTGTTTATGAACCCTGGTTTTACAGGCGGTACGGCAGTAAAGATCCTGAAGAATCTGCTGTCCAGATCGCTGAAGAAGCCATTCTTTTCCACGAAGCTACAGATGAGTTTCTCTAGTCAGCAGTTAGTTCCAGAGTGCGTTAAGGACAAGTTGTCACTTCTTACCACCTCAGTATATATGTACTTATCTACTTTCTCCTGCAGAGCTAGTTATATAGGCCGCACAAAGGGAGCATTTTCTAAACGTATCTCTGAGCACTATCGTACATGGCTGCCATTGGGAAAATGTAAATCACTTAACAGTTCAATTTTTGAACATTTGGCCAACTCTGGATGTATACAACTCAGCCAGAGTCCTCCTTTAATATCATTTATAGAGTCAAATAGGATAGTTCGAAAGGAGTACACCTTCGGCGGTTGTGCACCATGGCAAGAGGACTTCATCACTTCATCAATTCAAACCTGATCTATGCGTGAGGAATCATGTTCAATCTCTTATCTTACTTCCCATGGTCTTAACACTCACGATCTCGACTCGATTTCATCATACCTGGTTGATTATTATCACCTTCATTACATGTGACTCTTGTCTCATTCTTCACCTTATCTACATCTATCTATCAACCAGTCTGTATTCCCCATTTACCAAGAATTTTCACTATGTCTAACTCCTTGCCTTCGTTGGTATTTCCAGTGTCTGAAAGATTAGTACTCAACTACTTTTTATTCTTGGTTTCGGTTTTTTTTAGCACTCGCTTATCTCTTCTTTTCTCTATAGTTGTCCACTTGTCATCATTTACCAACGAAAGTAGGGTAGATAAGTTCCATTCGATTTTGATTTTTTGAATATTTCTATGACGTTCTGGATTCAAAGTACATCCAAGAGGTTATCTATGGATTTGAGTATTCATTTCTTCAACCATCTGCCAAGTATAATCAGTACTATGGAGAAAAAACGAGACTAGACATCAACTTGCAAGTCGTTTGTATAAGCACTGATCACTGACTGGCTGCAAATGCAAATTTTTGCTCCAGGACTGGTCTTCAGCAGTGCCGCGGCTAACAACAGAGAGTGAAGTGGTTGATTGTGTTGACCACTTCACTTACCTGGAAAGTAGGATCAACCCTGCCCCCGTGACTCAGTGGCCGATAAAATCTCTGCACGCATAAAAAAAAGGCTCGATTGGCTTTTGCTAATTTACGCCACTTATGGCGCCGCCACCATATCCACTTGTCTTTTAAGGGTCGCGTGTACTAAACAGCAGTCGGTCCGTTCTCCTATATGGCTGCGAAACATGGCCATTGAAAGTGGAAGATATGAGAAGGCGGCTTCAAGTGTTTGACCACCGTTGCCTTCGTAGTGTTGTAGGCCGTATTCCGTGGTGTCACCACGTGAGTAATGCAGAAGTCAGGTATAGAGTTTTAGAGAGTAGAGGTAAATCAGTTGACGAGGTTATAAACCTTCATCGATTGAGACTTGAGACACGTACTACGTATGCCTAGTCACCGATTACCTCGTCACACAATGTTGGCTGAAGTAGGTCCAGACTGGAAAAAGGCTCGAGCTGACCAGACTAAAACATGGCACAACTGTATGAAGCCTCTAACTGTTGGTTTCAGCTATGTGGGTGATGCAGACTAGGTGGTAGGGGTTGGCGGGACAAGAGGAACCAGAGGTTGGAGACTAACTCTAGGTGATCACATGGCTCACAACCGATGTCGGTGGCGCAGATGTATCCCCACACACATTATCCTCATCTTAACGACGCTATACTGAATCTCACCATTCTCTCATTCTTCCTTTCTTTCTCTCTATTCGTACTTTATATTTCTTCTGACTGCATTCTCTTATCTTCATCTTACGCCTCACTGCCTTGTTTACTTGATGTACTGATATGAGGTGTGGCAAGTTGGACCATTACGCAGTAATGCTGGTCCTATGTTGATATAGATTGATTGTTTGACTGACTGGCTGACAGAATCAACGTAGAATCTCGCACATAGGTGGATTTTTTCGGGTTGCTATACTTTACAGCAGTATTCAAGGAACAGGTTGATGGAAAGGTAATGATAACAAAGTAAACAAAGTTGTCAATAAACAATCTGAAGATGATAGTTTGTGTGAATGTTCAAGTTTTAGATGAGCCGTCAAGGTGTGTATGCGCCATTGTGTCCGACTTTCAATCATGTCAATAAGACTCCTCAACCACTGATTTCTTTCATCTTTGGACCCAACCAGGCAGTTTACATTTTCCTGCACAGCTCACGCCAACAGTCAGAGACTTCATCGACTGATGCCAGATCTTCGTCTCGCCACTCCGAACCTTTTTCTAACCTAGCATGATACATCGAAGTAGGTGGTGACTGGGCATCCGCAATACATGTCGATGAAAGTTCACAACCTAACTAATTGCCTAGTGTCCTTCGGTTGACCTCTACATGGCTGATATGGTGATTCCAAAGGTCCAAAAGCATCCACGTTATATATTTTTTCTGATCATCGTGTCACACTTCGCTAATTTCTCTATCCCATATCATTAATTTGTAGCCTTCTACTTCTGATTGGTTTATTTCTCTACTTTTTCATCTTGTTACGTCATATTGTAAGGTGTCGATGTATTATGTTAACTGTTACTCCTTACTACCAGTACCAACTGCTCTGTAGTTCTA